ATAGTCGGTTATAGCATCATGGTAGGAAAAGCCATCACTGTGCCGAAATTGGAGGTCACAGGTCAAAGGTCAATGGGGCACAGGGTAGATTTTAGACATTTTCTCAGGACATGGTCTGACGGAGCGATTGAAAAACGTTTTTGTTTCAGCGGTGGCCTACCATTTTTATGGCTTTATTGAAAGGACCATGAAATGTGCTTTCCACTGACGTGCGAAGAGTAAGTTTCTGATAACCTTTTGACCCTCAAGAGGAGGGTTAAACATGGATTTGTTGACTGTTAACAAAAGACAGAAGTCTGTTTGATGGTACTTGTGTGATCGTGGAAGACTTAAATTTCACAGTGAAATTCTGCATGAAAAACTTACTTGAACAACGTTTACGCGCCTTAAATCATATATGAACTTCATTCTCTATATGAGATTCTGTAGTTGGGAATACAATGTCAATAACACTTACGCAAACGTCTGTTTTTGATTAAGGCCAACTATAAATAGTACTACCTCGCAGGTGGGTGGCTGATAGCATGGCTGATAGTATCACAGCATGGGCTAAACGTACACTGGTACTCCCTCCCACCTCGATTACTCGCCCCATCGAGTAACTAAGCTGAGAGGTGGGACCGGGTACCAGTCTACGTAATACGATGCAGTATGCACGCTATCTATCGGAACAGAGTGAGAAGAATGTCCCGGCAGGATAGGTCAAATGTATATTGCGCTCAAAAGTGCAAAAAGAATTACTTTCTTAACTTCAGTTTAATCAATCTTGAGATAAGTAATTGCAGAATTGAATCGTCAAACCTACCAATGAAAATTTGCCAGTTTTCTACTGTCCTTGGCATGGCTCTCTCCGTCAACGTTACAGTAGTGTGCAATGTCGGGATATGGTGGAGCATGCTGGCTTACAGAGCCCGATGGTTGACTGTCAGTCGAAATGTGTTGATCCTCCCCGACATTGAAGAAATCTGTACGTTATACGTGCGTCTACCTTACCTCTGCCCGCCATCTTCGTCGAAAGTTTGGACGCCGCGCGGCGAAAATGTACATTTCAATCGATGACGTAACTGATACAGTAGCGCGCCGCGTGGGTGTTATTTGTTTATAAACAATTTAGTCTGACTGACTCTCTCCCTCTCTCTCCTCTCGCTCTCTCTCTCTCTCTCTCTTTCTCTCTCCCGCCCCCCTCTCTCTCTTCCTCTCTCTCGCTCTCTCTCTCTGCAATAAAAAAATGTTTGCTGAAATGATGTGTACGCAACTGCGTATCTGCATATCTGCGCCTAACAAAGGTGTCACTACGCACGACTGAAATGTTACATTTATAACCGTAGCAACAGACCTCAGATGAGCCCAGTCGCTCTACGGCACTTGTTATTGCACCTATTCATATTGATATATCTCCAAATACTCCTGTAGTCGGTTGAACATAATTGTATCCCCCGCGACGAAGCCGGCGGGGATACTATGGTTTCATGTCTCCCCAGCTGCCGCCGCCGCCGCTCGGACCGCCGTAGAGAATTTCCCTTCCACTCTATAACTCGACCCCTAATTGACCTAGCGCTACCAAACTTGGTATACTTACACATCTTGGGGAGAAGGTGAGCAGCGTACCAAAACCAGGTCACTGCGACCTTTATTTGACTATTACCTTGACCTTGATCATATATCCCTTCCGCTCTCTAGCTCCGCCCCTAATTGACCTAGCGCTGACCAAACTTGGTATACTTACACATTTTGGGGAGAAGGTGAGCAGCATACCAAAACCAGGTCACTGTGACCTTTATTTGACCTTTACCTTGACCTTGATCATATTTCCCTTCCGCTCTATAACTTGGCCCCTAATTGACCTAGCGCTACCAAAACCGGGTCACTGCGATCTTTATTTGACCTTTACCTTGACCTTGATCATATTTCCCTTCCGCTCTATAACTTGGCCCCTAATTGACCTAGCGCTACCAAACTTCGTATACTTACACATCTTGGGGAGAATGTGTGTCGCGTACCAAAACCAGGTCACTGCGGCTTTTATTTAACCTTTACCTTGACCTTGATCATATTTCCCTTCCGCTCTATAACTCGGCCCCTAATTGACGTAGCGCGACCAAACTTGGTATATACTTACACATCTTGGGGAGAAGGTGTGTCGCGTACCGAAACCAGGTCACTACAACCTTTATTTGACATTGACCTTGACCTTGACCTTTATCATATTTCCCTTTCGCTCTATAACTCGGCCCCTAATTGACCTAGTGTGACCAAACTTCGTATAATTACACATCTTGGGGAGAACACAGGGGATACATGTAGTTGGCGACAACTGCCCTTTCTAGCTCTTTATGTTTTTGAAACTTTTATTACTGAATTTAGCCAAGCGCACAATGGCATAAAATGTTTATAGTGTAATAACTAATAAAGGCACTATATAATTTTCTAATAACATACATACATGATCACAATGTGTTTGATAATATGCAATGCCATTAGACCCATGAAAAACATTGTAATACGTATGTTACTGATAATTATATAGACATATTTGCAAATTGCAGTAATGAGTGATATGTAACGTAAAATGTTTTCGATATTATATTATGATTGTCTTTTACTTTCAGAATTCTCCTGGATCTACTGAATATGAATATTTCTCCTATAGCTGTCATGCAAATGCTACACAATATGGCAGTGAGTGTAAAAAAGTCAAAACAAAATGCAAAGGATAATACTTCAAGTGTTTTATCAAACATTGGAGAATTACGTGATGCTGCCCTAGCCGCTGTCCAAAAATCGTTGAGTAAAAATTGAAGTCAGCAGATGGAGAGTTGTACTCAGTAGCTTGCATAAAAATTTGACTATAAATGGTAATACAAGAGTTACTGTGCTGATCATGCATGGCATGTATCAATTGTGAATGCTCAATAGATTTGACGATCACTTGATCGTATATAACAGTGTGTTACAAAGTGGTGCTAGGTGCTTTAGAGCATAGTGACAAGCAGAGTGATTTCACACACCTGAGCATTCATCCTCTCTAAGGGATTCGAACACAGCTCGACTCAGAGTTCGGCGCAGCAGAGATGGCGTTTCGCTCGCATCGGCACTTACTCCGCATGCATTCCGTATACGGCATGAGCTGGCTCCGATCGCTGGCGCGTCTTATGCACATGTCGAGTATGAGACTGCATCCGAAGCAAAAGCCGGAGTCGGTGGCCTCGCGCTTGCGTGCGGCCGTGAGAGAGCCCGGCAAGCTGAGAGCAACCGACCTTCCTCCAAAATACAAGGTGCACAAGAAAACCGGCCTCAATGCATACCTGCAACGAAGGAAGGAAGATCGCCTGCTCTACGGCCCGGCTGTCAGGCAAAAGACGAAAGCCGCGGCGAAGAAAGCGAAGACAGAACCTGCGGAAAGTCCGAACAGGCGAAAGAAAGGTAGCCAGATGCAACGTGATGTTGGTGGGAGCGAATCAGCAGCAATGGCAGCCGATCCAGAGGGATTGTCGATCGGCACTGGTGATTTCAACGAGGAGGCTTTTAATTTAGAGAACAGCATGCTGTTTGGCCCCGCACTTCCATTCACGAAGGTTAACAGATCAGCCGGCAACTACAGCGATTCTTCAGAGTCTGAAGATAGAAGACAAGTACTTACATTAGGTGACAACCATAATCCATACTCTGGATCGAACACAGAGAGCAATGTGAGGCAAGGTAAGGCACAGTTCTACAACTACCTAAAAGATGCTATATATGTATATCATTAGTTGGGCTTGCTGATTATAAAAATTAACCTAAAAACTTACGCAAGTTCTATTATTTACATATATATATGTATTTTGTCATCATTATTAACATCAATCTTGTGTTTTTATGTGTTTTTCAAGACAATATGTTTGTCTTTAATATGAAATAACGTGGTGTGTTGTTATTCCTTCTTCTGTATGTTAGGCAGAGTGCCCAAAAACAAGTTGGACACAAGCCTCATTAGTATAATGAAGGAGAAGATACTTTCATTTCCATTGTGGAACCCGGAGAGAAGCAGAGAAGGCATTGTAACCCCACAAGAGCACAATTTAGATATTCCACAGGTAAGGTTGGTGGTGAGAGGGTACATATATATGTCCTACATGAACACTGAAAACATACAACAGATGTATAGCTACGGTTTCTGAAACTTTGAACTATAACAAATGATAAACTTTCACGTCTATAATTTCGTAGAATGTATACTGCATGAAAAATGCAGTACTCGATAACCAAGTAATTGATAACCTAAAATACAGATGATAAAATATGTTTACTATCTGTTTTGCGATTCTAACTTGTCTATAAAAACAAGCCACGCATCTGAAGTTAAATACATCTCAACTATCTATCAATCTATGACAACTCGCTGGACTAACAGCTTGGTCTCAGTGCTGCTTTAGAGTTCGTGTTTTATCGCGTTTGTTTAGCATGATACAGAGATGTATCCGAGCGTGTCCGCAGTGCTGAGGGAGACGGCACCACCACAGAGCACCCTCGCCTTACTCAGATGGAAGAAGCAGATGATAGCACAGCTTGGCGAGGCAGGCTTCTACAAACTCAACCAGGGTGAGAACTTTATTGTTTATTATTGTGAATTAATTAACGCATATCAAATTCATAATTCGGCACAGCATAGATTTAGTAGAGGTGACATAGCAAGTAGCATATACACAGCATATCCTCGTTTCCATCTCCATCTGGAATTTTACGTTACGCTCTTGACAGAAATCAGTCTGGCCATTTGAAGCCAGTTCGGAACCGGGAACTCTGCGAAATGCCGAACCGCAAATTTCACAGATTAACTAACGTCGCAGCCACACCGTATCGCCGCGTTCTAGTTTCACGCTGCGCCGCTCGTAATAACCGTTCTTGTATTGTTTCGTCACGCAGACACGCTGCGCGCGGGACAGCGACTGCACGATTGCGTGCAGGTGGCGCTAGGCGGCACCGGCGCGTCCGTCGCCGCCGACGACGACGTGCGCGGGTACTGGACGAGCGTCGCGCGAGTCCTCGACGACGTCTCAGACGTGCGGGCGCTCGAGACATCTGTCTCGCACCGCCGCCTCAAGTACGCCGGAAAGACTGATTGCATCGCGCGCCACGACGGCCGCCTCTGCCTCATCGACTGGAAGACTTCGAAGAAGCCAAAGCGGACACTGTCGAGTACTTTCGATAATCCCCTACAGGTGGCGGCATATGCGGGGGCGGTGAACTTTGACCTCTCGTTCGACGACCTTCAGGTGGAGCAGACGATGTTGGTGATAGCGTATCAGAGTGGCGAGCCGGCGGACGTTCACTTCATGTCGACGGAGGTCCTGCAAGGCTACTGGCGTCTGTGGCTGGAGAGGCTGTCGCAGTACTGGGCAGGCATATGGCGGAAGAGGCTGGAGTGATGGGCCTCTGCCTACATGCTCCAAAGTAAATTCCAGCAATTTGTTTTTCTACTGCGAAGTTGGTCAAAACCAGAGATAGTCTAATAGTTTACAGGTTTTGGCATCGTTATCGATTTGATAGCAATTACTGTTTGATTTCAATGCGCGGCTGGGCAATTTTCAGCATTGTGAGTAGTGGATGTATGTAGCTGCAATTTAGTTCAGGCCCTAGTCAGTTCAAGTACGATATCGGGGCAATAATCGAGCGAATAACAATTTTTGTAGCATTTTTGAATAAAGGTCAGTGAAGATGCTGACCTTAAATAGTTCAATAGCCAGGTTGCAGTAAAATGGTAAATTATTCGTAGAGTATTTCAGCATTAAAATAAAGCAGTCTAAAAGAGACACCTAGAATATTCAACAATCCTAGTATATTCATACAGTAAAATAAAGATGTCCATTCATAAGATATCCTAAACAATGTTTGACATTTTATTCAAGCAATGGGTTATGAAATTACACTATTTACACAAAGAACAGTGGCTTGCTATGCTTATAGGTACACTGTTTCGCTGTCCTATAAGGTAACAGCCGCAATGTACAGGCAGAAAACATGCACGTTACATTTTACAAACTGCCACATCATTAACTCAAATCTGTAATGGTACATTTACAGGAGTTTCTGGTTTCATGTTTAAGTACTAGCTCCATCGGCTATAAATATATGTGGGAAAGCAAATTATACACAAGCATACATATATAGAACACATTTAGGCCTATACAGGAAATTAAATTTGTTGCTATCACAGACACTCTTAATGGATATTAACAAGCAATATATTTAATTTTTTTAATTTAACGCTTTTATAATATTCAGATTTAGGCACTGCCTAAAAGCGGAGCTCCCGATGTGTAACGTGTAAGATTGAGAGGATACGCTTATTCCACGTAGCTGCTATATACCACGTGACAATGGTGTTTCCCTGCTCATAACACAACTTTTGTCAAAGGTTAGTTGGTTGCATGGAAGTGTTTACTTTGTATGAGTTTTTCTAGGCGGTAGCACACGGTTGCCATCTGTATATGATTATCGCAATAATAGTTTATAAACCACAAGTGCCGCAGAGCGACAGCGCTCACCTGACGGCAGGTGTTCTGATGCTAAACTCGCTGGCAAACGAATCAAGCCCTCCCATCGCCGCGTTCGCTCTCCCTCGTCTCTCTCATTCTTTCTCTTTCGCTCTCTTGCTCTTGCTGTCTCTTCTCTTCGCGCTCTCTCTCTCCCTCTCTCTCTTGCTCGATCACACTCTCTCTCTCTCTCTCTCTCGCTCGATCACACACTCTCTCTCTCTCTCTCTCTTGCTCTCTTCCCTTCACGCTATCTCTCTCCCTCTCTCTCGCTCGCTCACACTCACTCTCTCTCTCTCTCTCTTGCTCTCTTCCCTTCACGCTATCTCTCTCCCTCTCTCTCGCTCGCTCACACTCACTCTCTCTCTCTCTCTCTTGCTCTCTTCCCTTCACGCTATCTCTCTCCCTCTCTCTCGCTCGCTCACACTCACTCTCTCTCTCTCTCTCTTGCTCTCTTCCGTCTGCTTCTCCTCTCTGTCTCTCTCGCTCTCTCCTCTCTCTACTCCTCCTCTCTCGTCGCGCTCTCTCTCTCTCTCACTCAGCTCTCTTCCCCTCGCTCTCATCATCTCGTCGATTTCTCTGCTTTGCTCGAGCGGTAGGCTCCTAGCGATGAGACTGTGCGAGCCGATTGTTTTTATACAGAATGTCTTGATTGTTGATGGTCTTGCTAACCAGTAGCAGACCGTTTCGTGGAGCTAAGCAAGGGCCGGTAACGTTTTTATATAACTTCACATAATATGTTTATAGCTACAATGTTATTCGGGTGCGACTCGGCAGCCGCATGTTATATACTATGTTAACTACGTTTCGCCAGCAGCGGCAGGCGAATGATACAGGAAAATTAAGAAAAATTGCTCAAAAGGCTGCTTGTGCCGGGCGGACAAGCTACTGGAGCAGATCTACTTTGCCTGTGTGGAAATTGGACAAGTACGGACAAACGGATAGCCTTATTTCGAAACATGGCATGGTATCAGGAACCTTCTCGAAGAAATGTTTCGTTGGGATCGTTATGAAAGTTGCCACGAGATGGCGAGTACGTTTGAGTGTCTTAAGATTAAAGATGGAAGCTCCTCATCGTACGTAGCAAGCACTAATCGATTTACCTACGCAAGCCTACAGGCCTGAAATAGAGAGCTGCCACCTGTAAATAATAACACCAGGCAAAAACTACACCGTACTATCACCACCACATGGCACTGGCAGTGGCGCACTAGACAGTGGCATAAAGTAACACACTGACAGACAGAATGCATAGAAATTATATACGATTTAAGGAGCATAAACTTCTTCAATCAAATTTAGCTTTTGAAATTTCACTGTGACATTGTAGCGCTCATACATCCAGGCATGTATAGATTCTACTAGCAAACGCTGGCAGTCAAATTCTTTCTAACAGTAAACAAATCCACGTTTAACCCTGCCTCTTGAGGTCAAAAGGTTATCCAACACTTACTCTTCGCATGTCAGCAGAAAGTACATTTCATGGTCCTTTCATAAAGCCATAAAAATGCTAGGTCACCGCTGAAACAAAAAAGTTTTCGTCAATCGCACGTCAACGCATGTCCTCAGAAAATGTCTTAAAAATCTGCCCTGTGCACCATTGACCTTGACCTGTGACCTCCAATTTTGGCACAGTGATGGCTTTTCCTACCATGATGCTATACACCGACTATCACGAGTCTAGGTCGAGCCGTTTAGATTTGTGCCGCAATTCTGGCATTTCCTTCCTATACCTTAAGTTAAGTTAGGGAAAGTTCCCGCTTAATTTTACACCTCTTGACCTTTGACCTTTGACCCCAGCTTCGACATCCCAACTCGTTTTCGAATTACTCCCTACGTCCCCGAATATCGTGACCGTACGTCAAGCCATTTAGATTTGTGCCGCAAGCTGTTGACAGACGCACGGAATGGACGCACGGCCGACGAACGGCACGCTCATGCGATTCTATCAAGCTGCATCTGACTATGTCAGATGAGGCTAAAAATGAATCACAATTTGTGACGGTAGATGGCGGCTATACCCGCTTTGATGTTTCTTAGCGATGGCATCCGAAATAAATAGGTTATGCTGCGTTCTGACATGTTTTGTAAAACTTTACTCTAATATAGACGTTTTATGCGGCAGGTGGAGAAGAGAATACTCAATTTTGCATTAAAGATATTGTCAATGAAATCTTGTAAAACAACCAGACGAGTGTGACATC